TGTTTTTCATTTGTTGTCTTTCTTTTGAAACTTGGACATAATTTATCGAGCTGTGGTTGAAGTATTCAGGAGGTCTCTGTGTATTCCTTCCAAAGGAATATGATTAAAGATGTACACCAGCCTCCCCTGATTTCTAGAAGACATTAGGGCATGACAAAGCCACATAATTTCAGAATTTACATCTTTTGTGAAAGTCTGTGCTTTTTCCAGTGCCCTGCAAAGTGAGTGGAAGCATAAGACTTTGAGGGTGAAGTGTTTTTCAGAGAAGCCACTGAGCTGGGGAGCGAGGGTTAGATTCGCAGTGTTATATAATCTACAGGGTCTGCCAACTGATCCTCCAGAATTATAATCAGCTGCCCCGTGGTGAACCCCTGCGCTCTGCAGACTGGCGGGTTCGGCAGTCAGCGCCTACCTGATTTAAAGACCTGCTCTGCAGGGTGGCGCAGGTGGGGGCTGGCTGGGAGGTGGCCTGGTTAGACCTGGTCACTCGCCTCATGCTGATGTCCTCGTCCTACCCTGGAGCCTCACTGTGCTGTCCAGGCTGGGCGGGCATCGCTCCTCCAGGCTCCCAGGGACCTCAGGCTTTCTGAGGTGCTGTTGATGATTTAGATTCCCACAAGTCAGGTTGCTTATGGAACCGAGCCCCCATCACTATCCCTAGCCCACAATGCTCATCGGATGAGTGAAGATGTTCAAATGGATGCCAGAATAATAACAGATAGATCAATGACAGCAGAATGGACAGCACAGCACAGCGGGCCCCCCAGGGACGGGGCTTGTGAGGGGAGGCTATGGTTGGTCCCCTCATTACTAGCTGAGACTGGACCCAGCCTCTAGCAGCCTGTGTCCCATACCCTGTCAGTGTGCAGATCAAGAGCATGAATCCCATGAGAGTGGCCCTAAATCAGGTGCTTGACACAGGTGGTAGAGGCTCAGTACACAAGTGCTGGCGTCTGAGACTTTTCAGATGTTGGAGTTTCTCTGAGGGAGGAACTCTACCAAAGATGGGCCCAAGGGTGGCGTGTGGCTGAGTGGATTCAAGGACGCTGTGTGGCGGCACTGGATCGGAGTGATTGTTTTACCGATGGCTTTACCATTTCCTCTTCTTTCTCCTCTTCCTCTTCCTCCTCCTTAGCTCCCGGCTCCTGGAGGCTGGAAAAGGCTTTTGGTACCAGGGAGGAGAAGAGGCCCTCACTGAGCTGCCATGGGCCTGGGGTCCTGGGAAATCAATAGTTATCCTTTGTGAGCAAGCCTGCAACTGCAGGGCTTTGTTAAGCAGAGGCCAGCAAAGCCTTTTCAAGTAATTCTTGACCCATTTATAGAGGCCTACCCTAACACAGTGCTTTGTGCTTGTAATGGGTTATAATTACAGCCACTGTGTGATGCCAGGTAAACCACATTATGTGCTCTGTACTCGCTTCTCCTCCACCTACCCTCCTTCAGTTGGCCCAGTTTTGGGGGCCATAGGTGGCAATCCAGGTCAGACTTGTGAAGCCAGGCGGGCTCGGCACGCCATGCCAGGGCTGCGAACATATAGAATGCAGCCCTGTGCTGGATGCGCACCGTCTTACGTGGAATGATTGCAGCCATCTGTGTGACCTTGGCCAAACGTTCTAGCCCCTATAGGCCTCAGTTTCCCCCCTGTAAAGTAGGAGCAGCACTAGTGCTTAGGGTAATATTCATGGTCTTGAGCCCAAGCCCCAGGGTTGAGACCATTCATAAGGTACATGGCTTTCTTATTTGCACAAAAGATAGCAACTGTTGCTATTACCACCAAGGTGACTTGTGGAGGAGATGGAAGTGTGGCTGGGAGGAGAGGGGTTGCTTCGAAGAGTGGACGGGACTTGAGGCGCACATGGAGGGGGCAGGGCATGGGTACATTGTCAGAACTTGCCCTGGCATGTTCCCTTCCCTCCTCTGTCACCTGTCCCCCTCCCCCCCCCGCCACTACAGCAGTCCAGGGACAAGAACAAGAAAGACCTGGGTAATGGAGAGATTTGTGTGTAGATAGGTAGAGCAGACTGTCAACCCAGTGTGTGCCCAATACTCAGTCCTACTCAGCTCCAGCACCCACCAACCCAGTGCTGCTTCCCACCCTCGACTGTCCTGAAACAAGTTGCATGCGTCCTTGCTCGTGAAGCAAAGAAGGGATGGAGTGTGCGAGTTTGGGTTTGGGGCAGATCTGGGAGAGGGCAAGATGATGGGGCCTCAGGTGCATAGCTGACCTGGCTCGGGCCTGCCTTGCGTCAAAGCCTGACCTTAACCCTTCTAACTGCCTCACTGCAGCTTCAGGTGCTTTGCCCCGGCAGGTGCCCACAAGACTGGACTCTTTGTCTGGAGGTTGACCGTCCAGAGCTCAGCCTGGCTACGGAGCAGAGGCCTGGGGGCTGTGAGATGTGTGTGAGACACTGGAGGGAGAGACGGTCTGGGGAGAGCTTGCCTTTGGGTTGTACCTCCGGGCATTGGGACACTGGGGGTGTGACCCAGGTGCCAGCGTGAGAGGTGACTTCAGGCAGACCACTGCGCCTGCGTGAAGGAAGGTCTGCTGCAGAGGGCTCCACACACGCTGACCGTGGCCCTGCACTTCCTGCTGGTTGCTGAGAATAAGGTGGTCAGAGGAGATAGAAAATTCCAGAGCCTGTGGCCTTGTGGCCTGCAGGAACTATTAGTGATCTCATATTCCTCTTCTGAGGCCTCAGAGTCCTGGATGTGTTTCTTGTTGTGCTGGGGTTTGGATATCGTTATCAAGCTCCTGTGCTTATGTAAAATGAAAGCTGTTTATACCAGTGGCAGGGCGGAGGCAGATGATTGTAAAAATGCTGAGTTTCAGGGGCTAGCTTGGTAACAGTGAACACTGCCGCTTAATGGTTAATTATTTCATCAATTTCTGTCTCCTCTGTTCAGTGAGATTTTTCTCCCCCACTCCCCGGTGAAAATGCAAGCTTTGTCTGATGTGGTCAAGTCCCTGTTCTGCCTGCAAAAGAGAACCAGGGTTTTGACAGCCCATGATAAACAGCACTTGAGGCTGGGATACGCCGATGTTTTATGTATTTATGGAAAACTGTTGTAGCTCTCTGGCTCTCATTGCAAAACAAAACAGAAACAGAACCCCCAAACTCTGGCTCAGTCTGGAAATGATGGTGCTGTGTATTGAAGGTTAGCATTTCCCAGGGTGCATTAGCAGGTGTTTAGGGGAGTCCTGCAACTGTGTATCTCCAGCTTGCTGGGAGGTAGATGGACCCCCTCTGCCCTGAGGAAGCTGGCACGGGGTTTATGGAATTTCCATGTGGAGGACTCTGATTATCAGTGATAGTGTGTGCGTGTGCACGCGTGCATCGTGTGTGTGTGTGTGTGTGTGTGCGCGCGCGTGTGTGTGTGTGTGTGTGTGTGAAAGGCCAAGAAAAGATCACCGTAAGCTTTTGAACCAAAGGGATAAGAAACAATACGGCCGTGGGAATATTAATTTTTGTTCTGCACAATGCGAAAAAGCTGGAGAAAAGGCCAGGTGCCTGCTTCTCCCTTTGTTAGCTCCCTTAGTCTTTGCTGTAGCTTAGGTGACATCTGCCTTTGCGCTCCCCGCCAATTGGAAGAGGTGGGGCACCACAGAGGGACAGAGCAGTGCCCTCGGATTGAGGGGAGCTCTCCGAGCAGGCCGTGGGAAGCGTGCAGATGACAGGCAGTCAGGCACTGAGCAAGCTTCATGTTGGTTGATTCACGTGTGGGGTTTGAACTCTCTGAAACGCTTGCTTCTAGAATGAACTCCATTCTTTCTCTCACTGATAAACGAGTCTTCATTCAAAAGCATGAATAAGGAGAAGCAAAAGCAATAGAAAAAAGCCCCTTCTGTGCCCTTTTTCCATTTATAAAACAAAGTCTGCCCCCTCCCCCTGAAAGGAGGGCTCCCTCTTGATCCCCGTGAGATGAGACCCAGGCTAGTGACCTCCTTCCCCCGCAAAGCTTCTGTCTATACCCCATTCTTATCCGGACACTATCACAGCTCCTGTGAAGTGCTTGCTACAAACGGCCTGACAAAATTACATATCACACATGGTGCAGTGAATGTGGGGTGAGTCTGGGATGTGGCAGGTGGGTGGGGAGGCGGTCTCTGGGGAAGGCAGGGCTGGAATGAACGTCTTCTTGACCTTGCACCCTGAAAGTTTCTCCTAAGGTGCTTTCAGGGATCTTCGTGTGGGGTTGTGGGACAGCATAGCTGGACGGTGCCTGATGTTCTGTAAATGTTTACATAAATCACAGTTGAGTAGCGTACACACTGATCAGAGGCTACGTGACATCCACTTGCATTTCTATTTACTCTGGATCGGCCAACAGCTCGACTCACTCAGTTTTGGAAAGCATCCGTGGCTCACTGCAGGCCAGAATGACTACATGTCGGTCCTCTGCTGGCTGTGACCTTGAGAGAGAGCTTGCGCTCCACAGCTACAGTGGCTTTTTCCATTAGGTGGGGGTAATGGTACCTACCTCCCAGCGCTAGCGGAGGCCATGAGAAGGATTTATCCTGACAGAGTGAGCAGGGACTCACGTAGCTCCAGGGCCTCAGGTCACGGTGGCCCAGTAGTTTATCGCCATCATCAACACTATCCTGGACAAGGCTCTGGCTCTGTGTCTTTGGCTTTTCAAAATCAAAGACCTGATGAACAGAGTGGCTGCAGCCTCTCTCATTGCGTCACTACAGGGGCATTCTTGGCAACCACTGTTCAGGTTGGCACAACAGCCTTTGTTTGCTCAAAGTATGCGTTAGTTAAGAACCAGAGCCAGTGGTCCAGAAGTGGTCTGAGCCTGTTGTAGTCTGACTGAACTGTGGGCTCCAAACTGTGAACTGAGCTCCAAAATGAACACCGGTGCAGGCTCTCATACTTGCAGTCAGCCTGCCACCATCTCCAATCCATGCCTCGCTGAAACCTGGCAGGAAGGAGAGGGCGGGAGAGCAGGGGTAGACACCCTGCCTCTGAGCCTGACAGCTCGGTGGTTGTCTGTTCCAGGTGGCGGAGATGCACGGGGAGCTGATCGAGTTCAACGAGCGCCTACACAGGGCCCTGGTGGCCAAGGAAGCCCTCGTGTCCCAGATGAGACAAGAGCTCATCGACCTCCGGGGACCGGTGAGTGCTCCCTGCCCACAGGGCTGGGCCCTGCCGACTGCCAGCCCCCTCTGTCAGTTTGTTCATGGTGCATCAAGAGGGTAGAAAAGCAGAGGAAGTGAAAGATTGCACATCCATGTACCCCCCACCCAGCCCTGGCCCACATTGAGCTCTCTTGCATTTTGCTTGCTGTGGCCCAAGGATAAAGGACACGGGGTGGGGCAAGTTCCCTTGCAGTCACCTGGTCCAGAACCGGCCTAGCCCCTCCCTTCGTGTTCCTCCACGTCACGCAGCTTCATCATCATGAGCACAGCCTCGCTCCGTGTTCCACTTCGGCTCCTCACTGCGTGCTCTTCTATGGACACACATACTGGCTGGCCACTTGGTTTGTTTGAAATTATTATTGTGGTTCTGGGATTCGAATTTTAACCACAGTACTGTTGACATTTAGGGTCATTTAATTCTTCAGTGCTGTGAGATCCCTGGTTTCCCTCCCTGGAGGCCAGTAATCACCCCCCCCCCCCCCGTGACAACCACAGATGGAGGCAGACTTTAGCACTTGTCCCCCGAAGGCAGAACTCCCTTGGTTGTGAACCTCTGACCCAGCTCATTCCTTTCCTGACTCTGCCCTTCTCCATTCAATGAAATGCCACACCGTGTTGTGTCCATCTGTGTTTAAGTTCTTTCCAGTATCTGCCATTATAAACATGCTGTCGGCATGCTCACACCGGGCCTCTTGCGCTTCATTTTAAATCTAGTTCACTATGTGAAAGACCCAGTGCCCCACGTAGGCAGGCATAGCCACCGCCCAGCTGGCCAGTGCTGTTTCAGGCTCCTGCCCTCTGCTCTCCACGATACTTAACTGGACACTGGGCATTATTTAATCCATAGTCCCCTTGCCACGGATGTGTGAAAATGTGGAAATGTAAATACTCTACCGTAATTAGCCCTATCACCACTTCCTTTATGTCAGCAAATACCACTGTTCAAATGCCCAGGCCGCTCAGTGTTGCGCTCACGATCCATGTGTGGCTCACATATTGTAATTGGTTGATGTCTCTTTGGTTCTTTTTTCTTTTATATTAAAAAATGATAATAATAGATACACAGGATAAAATAAAAAAATGATAATAATAGATACACAGGATAAAATGTGTCATCTTAACCATTTTGAGGGTGCAGGCCAGTAGTGTTAGTATACCTTTCCTTCTTGAACCGAGTCTCTGTCCCCCTGCCATCTTTAGTCCCTTCCTCTCCCTCCCCAGCCCTGGGCACCCACCATTCTGCTTTTTGTGTCTGTGGATTCTTTCTGTTCATAGGGTTCTCCCGCGTCCTTCTCATTTTTATCTCTTGCATGCCCATGGAAGACACTAGGTCATTTGCATCTCTGAAGTGCTGTTTGGCATGCTCCTCTCTTTCCCAGAGTTCCTTAAATTCACATTTGCATCTGGATCCAGACTCTGGTTTAATTTTGACGACGATACAACTGTTGTTGGGGTGTACACGTTTGCCATCAGGAGTCACGGACGGTCTGCTGTCTCTCTTTTTGTATTGTCACTTCCCAGGTCCATGACAGGTCAGTGTTTCTTCCGTGGCTGTGTAGCTGAGACAGGACAGTGGGGCTGAGGGGTCCTCGTGAGACTCTCCCATATCCCTGTCCCACCCAAGGAATGCCAGCCCACTCCGCCACGGGCTGTGCTGTGACAGGCAGGGGTGGAGCAGGAATTCACTCCCTAGCTTCGGGTGCTTGGGCCAGCAGGTGTCTTCCTGTGCCCTTTATGCTGACTGACTGGTTGCTGTTGGCTCTCACTGTGGCTGCTCTTGCTCATTGTGACGAAGGCAGCCAGCCAGCTCGTACCGATCCCTAACTGCTGATACTAATAGCTGCTGTTCCATGAGTAACTACTATCTGCCACAAGCGGACTGAGTACCTTCAAGCACAAGCACTTCCTATGTACCTTAACTGTAGTTACCACTGTGGTCCTCATGGTGCAGAAGAGGAAACTGAGGCTCAGAAACTTAAGCAACTCAATCAACATCCCACAGTGAGAAGTGACAGGATCTGGATCTGACGTCAGAGACTGTTTTTTTTTTTTTAAAGTACCAAATTTGAGGGATTCTTGATAAACCTTATTTCACTCATGCTGAAGAGTCAAGCAGTTAAAAAAGGTATTCAGTGAGAAGTTGGTGAAAAATAAATCATAAATCTCCTCCTCCCTGATGCCCCTTAGTTTTCCTATCCAGAGGCAGGAAGTGCTGCCGGTCTTGGGGTGATCTTTCCAAAGGAATGATGACTGAGAAAGCTGCCGCACTACCTGCTTCTTTCTTTTTTTTTTTTCCTCATGGAATGCCACTGTGGGCCCCAACCCCAAGCCCAACCCCGAATCTCCTCATCCCTTCCTCAGGAAGCCTTCCTGATCCTAAGGCCAGACTTTCCACATAGCACATTACTTTACATCTCTCTCTTTCCCTATCTCGGTGTAAGTTCCATCATGTCATCACTGGCAGCCATCTCATTCCACTAGGCAAGTTCCTTGCTTCTTTCTGCTTCCTTTGAATTCTGGTGATTCACGTGGTAGATGCAGCGTGAAGGTGGGTTGGCTCCTGGGATGGATCTCTGCGGTGGCATCGGGTTTCCCTTGGGGTCATGACGTGAGCGCACCGTCTCCCTGTGCTGTGCCCCTTCAGCTTCAGCCCCGATGCCCTCCAGGGCCATGATGTCCACTGCTAGGCAGGTGCACTTGTCCTGCATTCTTCCTGGCAGGTTGTGATGTCCAGAAGGCTAGGACAGGGAACACACTCATTAAGGACCTTTAGGCTGTTAGAGTTTTGGGGTGGTGGCCCCCAGGGGACCCTCTTGATCTTGTCACTTTTGCCTCAGATCCCAGGCATCTCAGGGCCTTGACAGCCAAGGTTAGAAGGAAGGAGGCTGTTTCTAACTCAGTGTGAATTCTGGAGCCTTCTCTTCCTCTTCATAGCCAGAGGCATCTTCCATTGGCCTCTTTTGCCTTCATTTCCAGTTGGCCTGACTTTCAGACAAAGGAAACGGAAGTGAACTTCCAGCCTGTGGAGAGTGTTTCCATGACTGAGGGGGCCAGGACTGTGTACTCTCTCCAGAAACCTCAGCCCCCTCCCTGTCTAGAGGGAATAAATATGGCATCTGCCTGTGGGAGGTGCCGTTGAATCTAGGCTCTTGGCGCTGGGCACATGGTGAGGGCCATACCTCTTTCAGCTCTGTTCGTCTTCGCTAAACTCTGTGTATGTATTAGAGGCTCAATAAGTGATTGCTTGTGGTGACTTCATTTTTATAGAGTAGAGAATGACTGCACAGACCAAACGATAATTAAGAATAAGGACAGACAGGACAGAGGAGGATACTCCTAGGGGAGGAACACAAAGGTGCAATGTCGCCAAGCCTCTGATCATATAAAACAATATTTATCAAAAAGGAATTTAAAAAAGGAGTAAGACAGGAGCAGACACACAGATTTCTCTCAATAGCTCACATACTGTAAGCTAGGTTACTTATTTTATAAAGGAGAAGGAATTTGGGATTAAGGGTTGCATTTTTTCCCTTTTCTTTCTTTTCTAATACAGGTATTTTTAGGGCTCTCTTCTCATTATGTTTCTCCCTCTGGTATAAGATGTGAATTAATGCAGAGCTTTTTTTTTTTAATCTTTGTGCACGATTTGATTATTCTCTGGGAGAGCAGCACCTGGTTTGAATAATAAATAGAGGCGGGGAAACAGAACTCGCAGGGCAGCAGGTGGAGGTGAGTTACTCTCACAGTGAACTGAAAGCAATGACGTTGAAAGCCAACAGCAAGGCAAGTGGTGAACCTCAGGTCTGTTCCCCCTGGGTACAGATGTGTCTACACTATATGTGATACAAGGTGGGCTTCTCTTTTTGTCTCTTTAGTGGGGTCTGTTTCTCTGACCCAAGTCCTATTTTTGGTCACTTCACCTTAAGCAGGAAGGACAGCCTGTTTGGCATGATTTGAGGTCTGAGGTGTTGCCGGGGTGACCCCCTGCCTTGTCCCCTCCCCTGTCTGTGTGCTCAGGACATCACCCTTTGGCAGCCCTTTGCTGAGGGCTTGGTCTGGTATGCATGTGACTCCTTCATCCTCTAGACAGTCCTGCATGATGGACCTATTAGATTCATTTCTCTGTGGAGCAAGTTGGGGTACAGAAAGACTTGTGCTTCACCTGAGGCTTAAGAGTGCTGAATGTAAACACAGGCTCCCTGACCTTATCCCCACACTCTCCCCTGCTGTGATTCTAGCACAATTCAGTGTTTGTCAAGCCCCCAGCTTCCACCCAGCCCCTCGTGGACTCTCGCCTGCCCCTTGCCACGCAGTGGGCTAGTCTTCATCTGTGTGTCACTCTGCCTCATCACTTTCTGTGCTTGCCTGGGGACTGCGAGCTTCCCTGCCGCGGGGAGTGTGTCTTCCCGTCCCTCTTCTTAGAGTCTGGAGTATGTCACTTACCTGTGTGTCCATGGCAACACTCCACTCACCAGGACGCTCGATTGTGCAGGAAAATGCCCTCCTGCCCTGCTGGATGGCAGGGACGTGCTAATCCCCGCGGTGAGCAGCCCGTGCTTTTCACGGGATGCCTTCTTTCCACTGCCGGGCTCAAGCTGGGGATGCGGGAGACAGGGAAAATCCACTCTGAAGTTTTATAATAAGGTGCACTTCAAATAAAATGCTCTTTGGACTTTCTCGGTATTTTGAAGTCTTTAGAGGGACTGATCTCATTTTGGGGCTGGCACTATTTAAGTAGAAGAGCTTAATAAGAAATGTATTTTTCAGCTGCGTGGCACTTGCCGGATATCTGATGATCAAGTGCCAAGTTCTCTGCAGTCCCACAGCACTCTGAATGCCGCATTCCAAATTCTAAGACACCGTTTTCATTTTGCACTTGGACACTCATGTTTTAACCGTCTACCGTCTTGAAGCCGATTATTCTGAAAAGTGCCATTTAAAAGAGGCTACTAAAAATATATCTCACATAGAGGCTTA